TCATGAGTGTCTTGTAACATCGATGAGTTCAACATAGCTAATATCGTAAATAAGCATGCACTGCCAGTTAAGGGTGGCACGTTTACTATAGGGTGGATCCAGGAAGATACATCCACTTTTTGGAAAGGTTTTTTCGATTTTTTTTTCAGTCGAGACTTCCGGTATGCTTTAGAAAACACTTTTGATGGAAAAAAATATGACCCTTCTAGTGGACAATATCGAGTTCTCGTTGATTTTTTCGCAACGCCTATAGCATATTGTCACACATAGAAAAAACTTCAGGAAAACACCTAAAAATTTTCTAAAATATCTTTTTCAGAATTTTTTCATTCTGAAAAATATAAAAGGTGTCTAGAAACACTTTTCTGGAAAGAAATGGAACCATTCCTATTGGAAGTCTTGAGTTCTGAGTCATTTCTTCTGAAAATAACGATAATTGTCGTTTGTCATGTTGAGTGATAGTAATTTATTTGAAGGATTTTTGTTTCTTTCTCAAAGAACCGACCTTGATCATGCTGTTCTTTTATGACGGTGTCAAACTAATGAGTTGGCCCACATAACTCGAGACAAACGACATCAGATCCTCTCACTTCTGTGAGACCACAGAATCAAAAGGGACAACATAGTACCGACTAATAAAGTTTCTATCTCGTTGTAAGGACATCTTTAAACATGAAGTCTTATGTACAAATATCGTGACTTCAGACGAATAAGAGTACGATATGAATCATCGGACATTGAAAAGGGTCGATTACGATCTAGTACGTTTCCTGATTTCTTTAAAAAATTGTACATCAATGCCCAAACGAAAGTATTGTGAGCATCCGACAAAACATGTAAACTCTACTCGTATACCCAAAGGAGTAATGCCTGTATCGCCACATCCATCAATGTTTTTGATTTCTCGATATGATGCGGCTGACGGCCGAATACGCTGGGTACGTCCTAGATGTCATGCATTTGAATGGAAGGAAATTATGACTCGTCAATCAATGGATTTAACCAATAATGAGAGCCCGAGTGAAGGTAAAGCCATGGCAGAAGACTCTTCTGTTCGTGACGATGAAAATGGTGATGCTGTCAATGGTGAATTTAATGATTTGAATGAGAAAGAAGAACAGAATCCTCTAATGGATAATGGCATCCTAGCCGAGTCGAAAAACGATGATGATGATTTGTCATATATGGATGATGAGACGACTAATCATGAATCGATGAATGAAGAGATAGGTTATGTTTCATATGAACTCGAGTATCAGAAAGATAAAGTAATGGAACAATTGTCGACCATCTTCAAATTATTAAACATAGATTCCATTCGTGACAAGTACGTCCATAAGTTTTTTCCGAACTTTCTTGAACGACTCTAATGTTTAGATCAGCAGTATCACCTATTTGAGCTAAAGTTGATGAAGTGTATAGAAAACTTCATCGATTATGTGATATATTGGATGAAAAACCTCAAGTTTCATATGATCAAAATCCTGATGGACTCAGAATATCTGAATCAAACGAGCTTTTGATGTTCTAAAAAATTTATTCATCGAGAGTGATGCTGATGAACAAGTTTGTCTAATGACAATTACTCCTAAAGAATGAGGTCGACAAAAACTCGAAAAATAGTGCGTATTCTATCCTCATTTCTTCACATTTCTTCGCATTTGTTCAATCATATGTCATTAAAAACTTCTTTCATCTGTCAGATTTCAATCAAAGTCAAATCAGGCTCGAAGATCGCTCGTTCCTCCAAAAAATAAAGGAATGCTAGCTTATCCACAGTGGTTACGAGGCAATATTCCTTTATCTGATGCAACGATTTATTCTGTGGTCAAGTTTTATTGTGAAGATGAAATCAGTCAAACCTCATCCAACTACAAAGACACGATTAAAATCAACGGACAGGCAGTGGCAGTTCGGATTTTGGAAATGACGGTCTTGGATGCCTATCGGATATTCAACGAACGATTTCCTGGAGATGTCGTAAGATCGACCTTTACTGCTTTTCGATCGTGGGAAGTAAAAATTGCAGGGCCACATGACACATGCATGTGTATTATTCATGAGAACATGGATCTGTTACTGAAGGTATGTGTTGATTGTATATTGATTCGATTCTATCGTATTTTAACCAAAGGCGTGGAACAACTACTATGAGAAATATATCGGTGTAGCATCGTTATCAGCTAATGAGAAGACCAATATGAAAGACCTGATTACTCAAATGGTTTGCACTATCCCGAAAAAAGAGTGCTTCAATGAACAATGCGACAACTGTCCGATGTAAAATATCACGCATATTCTTACCCACAACAATGTCGTGGATCTAGATGACGAATGGTCATGGATGCTACGGAAAAAAGTCAATAATAAATTTGATCTTCAACAGGTGATAGGCTCAGTTGACTCCCTGCTCACAGAGGTTGAAGAAAGATGGTCCACATTTTTACTTCACACGTATTGTAATCATCAACAACGTGAATATATCAAAGACTTGCGTGGTCAATCAACAGACAAATCGTTTGTTCTAGCACAAATTGACTTCTCAATGAATTACACATTGATACGCCAGCGTGAAGTCCGACAAGGTTTTTTCAGTCAGCATCAAGCCACCTTCTTTACAATCCATTTGACCATCGGAAAAGAACAAAGAAATCTAGCATTTATCAGTAATTACATAGAACCCACAAGAGCATTTGTTTATTGCACACAAAAAATTCTCGTCGAATTCATCAAGAAGACTTTTCATTGGTGAAAAAAGATCAATCATCTCAGGTGAGTCTTACTCTGGTTAGATACAGAAGACTTAGAAGTCCATGTACTATGTCAATTCTCTTCTCGCTTTTAGTGATGGTGCAAGTGCGTATTTTAAAAATAATGCCAAAATTTTGAACCTAATGGATCACAAGACTGACTTCAATTTGGAGGCATCTTGGACATTTACAGCTATATGTCATGGTAAAGGAGCTGGTGATGACATTGGTGCTGTTGTGAAGACCATAGCTAAATATGTCACTCTTTCAAAGAATATTCCCCTATTAACTGCGAAAGACTTCTATGAATTCTCTAAAGCGCAACAGCTCAAAACCGAAAGAAGATCTAACAACGATAACCCTGCTGTTCACCTCTTTTATCTTGAAGTAGAGGAGGTGGGAACAGTGAAGAACAACTTTTCGTAAGCTAGAAGCGAAAAACTTCGAAAATTAGGAGAGATAAACATTTTCTAAAAATATTTAATGCAGTGTCGGTTTTGGTGAAATACGAGGGATCCGAATAATGCATGAATTCCAACCGATTAGCCATGCGACGGTTCGATATCGTGTAACATCTCGATCAACACACATCAGGACATTTAAATTTAAATAAATTTCTTTTTTATATCGATTTCAATGTATCAGATTTGGTGGAATGAAACTGAAGAGTCATATTCAGCACTCCGACACATCGGAACAGTCTCTTAGTTTCCTACTATGCCAGATTCGTTCAGTCTCAAGCTTATGATTTGGGTTAATTTCGGTGTCATCAAGTACCTGAAGTCATCTATTGTGACAGCGATATATCATCTTGAACATCATTATCTTTATCACTAGTCTAATGAAAATCCTTCAAATAAGTTAGTGTCGATCAACATGACAAACGGCAATTATCGTTATTTTCAGAAGAAATGACTCGGAACTCAAGACTTTCAATAGGAATGGTCTAATTTCTTTCCAGAAAAGTGTTTCTAGACACCTTTTATATTTTTCAGAATGAAAAAATTCTGAAAAAGATACTTTGGAAAATTTTTAGGTGTTTTCCTAAAGTTTTTCCTGTGTTGCAATATACCGTAGGCGTTGTGAAAAAATCAACGAGAACTCGATATTGTCCCCTAGAAGGGTCATTTTTTTCATCAAAAGTGTTTTCTAAAGTACACCGGAAGTTTCGACTGAAAAAAAAACAAAAAAAAAACCTTTCCAAAAAGTGAATGGGTCTCCATGGATCCACCCTATACTTTTTATTTAAGTAACTATAGTAAAGTAACTATTTTAGTTACTTAGTTACTTTCGTAAAGTAACTACTTTAGTTACTAGTTACTTTTGTAAAGTAAAGGTAAAGTGCCATCCCTAATCAGGATAATAAGATTAAAATACCAAAAATGGCCTATCTTGTGTACTTTGGTTGGTTGCATGGATCTGTGAATTTTTGGATTCTTCCCAATGACTCAATCGGATTTCTGAATTTTACTACTAGACTCAATCAGGATAATAAGATTAAAATACAAAAAATGGCCTACCTTGTGTACTTTGGCTGTTTCCATAGGTTCGATGAATTTTTGGATTTTTCCCAATGACTCAATCAGATTGTTGGATTTTACTTCTAGGCCCAATCAGGATCATACGATTAAAATACCAAAAGTCGCCTATCTTGTGGGTGTGGGTGTGGGTCTGGCTGTGGACATGACTCTTTTGTTCATCAACACCTACACCCACACCCACACCCACACCCACACCCACACCCAATAATAAATGCCATGAGCAAACCCGACGAAATGGATCGAACAAGTGATTTGCTATCGAACAACCATTAAAACCCATACTCATTAGAGATACACATTGGGCCGACCCATGAATAAAAGTGCCTGAGAAAGATTATGAACCTATTTAAATCAACAACGCGACTACATGGAAACCATCAACAACAACTTTCTGAGGTCTTAATTTAAAATTAGATATGTCGTCCCTTTTCAATCGCATTACCACGAACTACAGGTAAAAACTAAACACCATTGGAACCCATCCACACCATTGACAGCTAAAGATTTGATGGCAAAAACTAACAAAATGGTATAACAGTTAAAAATCGTATTACATAGCTTGTCAGACACGATTAACTTAATAATCACATCGATTCTGCTGAACTGAGAAGAATGATAAAACGATTCCAAGTTAAAATCCTCTTCCCACTTCTATAATCGATAATAATAAATTGACAATCTTTGAATCCATTGAGTTCGACTCAGGCTTAAAATCTGATTTCAATTCATAAAAGTTACGTTAACCTCATCATAATCTTCCAACCCAATTAATTGGATTGTGGATTTCAATCGATTGAAGAGATTGAAAATCGATTGAAGATTAAAATTCGATTTCAACTGGTATAATCGATGTTAACCTCATAATAATCTTACAGTCCATTTGATTGGATTGTGGATTTCAATTGATTGACGAGATTGAAAATCGATTGAGGATTAAAATCCGATTTCAATTGGTATAATCGATGTTAACCTCATAATAATTTTACAATCCAATTAATTGAATTGTGGATTTCAATCGATTGAAGAGATTGAAAATCGATTGAAGATTAAAATCCGATTTCAACTGGTATATTTGATGTTAACCTCATAATAATTTTACAATCCAATTGATTGGATTGTGGATTTCAATCGATTGACGAGATTGAAAATCGATTGTTGATTTTAATCAACTTTTAGATCCAATAATCGATTATAATCGGTTGATTGGATTAATTTTGGGAAGGATTGTGGGATTTCAATCGATTATCATCCGATTATTTTGGAAAAGTGCGATTTTTTCGGTGTTACTCCAAAATAATCGGGATTTTTGAAGGAATTTTTTTCACTGGGGAGCTGTAATAATAATGTTCTGCTTTGAAATATAATAGAGTTTACATCAGGTTTTATCCTTCTCATTTGATACAAAAGTTAGGTAAACTGCAAAATCTTCCACTAAAAACATTCTTTCGTTCTGTGCTAACGAACGAACGAAGTTACGAAAGAAGTTACCAACATACGAACCTTGCTCGGTCTATGACCCTCCTTCCAGCAGAAAGATTTTCTTTTTGCAAAAAAATGATCCTTTGTGTAAAAAAATGGATCAAAAAAAAAATTTCGAAAAACTAACATCACATTCGGATTCCTCGACCTCGATTACCCTTTGGTCAACCCTTATAAAAAAACTTTCTTTTTTGCAAAAAAGTGATCCTTTGGTTCAAAAAATGAATCGACAAAAAATTTCAAAAAAACTAACATCAGATTCGAGTTCCTCCACCCCGATTACCCTTCGGTTAACCCTTATAAAAAAATTGTTTTTTGCAGTAAAGTGATCCTTTGTGTAAAAACATGGATCGGAAAAAAAATTTCGAGAAACTAACATCATACTCGGATTCCTCGACTCCGATTACCCTTCGGTTAACCCTTGTAAAAAAAATTTTTTTGCAAAAAACTGATTCTTTGTGTGAAAAAATGGATCAAAAAAAATTTGATAAACTAACATCAGATTCGAGTCCCTCGACCGCGGTTACCTTTTGGTTCAGTTTTTTAGAAAATACTAATAAGATCAACTATGTTGTGGGTCGAAAAAACATTTTTGCGGTC